AATGAAAATTTTGAGTTGGCAAAGGAACAGCGGATAACAAATTTAAAAAGGAGAACAAAACCTGAAAGCGAAGGGAAATTTTAGCGATGAATAGGAAGTACGGAGTAGCCCACGCATAAAAACGTACGAGAAATTATGCGGCAAACTGTGATTGGATCCAACAAAGTGACTACAAAAAAAAAGGAACTTAAAATGCTACCAGAAGTAATGKTAGTAACCGAGAACACACGTACGTAACCATCAATGAAACGAAACATATGAATGAAGGGATACAGTAGAGTGATCGAAAATAACATCGCGCCGTTAATTTGAAGGCAGGTAACTAATATTTCATGACACCCGTAGTAAAACAACGAGGGTGAAGTACGTAAAATTGAGAAGCCAGAATTTTTCGACGACAAAGAAGCAAATTTGTAAGGACGGCGGGCGGGAAAACCGGGCAGGCGAAAGATAATATCAAGACTACCGTGTCACACCTCTACAAAAGGTTACCACAAAACAAAAGCACGGTAATAGATGCGAGTAATTCACAACAACGAGAAGAAAACACAAAAAATGCGCGATGAACTTGTCTTCCCACAAAACCTATTAACCAATAATAATATTAAAAAGGAATAACGGTAATTTTACAAAGCGTGTGGAAGTATGACAAGAAATAATAGTACAAGTACCACTGACACTCCACTGTCCCCCTCTATTGAACGAAGGAGAGGAGTTGTCAACGCGACTATTACAAGTCCCACAGGGCAACATTTGGGCGGGAATCAAAGAACCACAACAAGTGTATCCGACAACGACAACACACCRGAAACAACACGAGAGAGGACCATTTTTCATCGTGACGAGGAGCTATATGTGAAGGAAAAAATTAAAACCTTCACCAGGAAAGTCGTGTTCGAGCAGTACCACAAGTTCCTCATGTTACCTCACGACAAACTGTTGGTGGAAACAGTTGCCAAACAAAGTGCAAGGAATTATTTCAACCAAGGGATAATACMTAGRGGTTTYGATCTAAYGAGTGARTATTGKAGTGGAACTATAGGGAGTGAGCTTGCAACATGTCAACACAACGCACAGACTTTGGCGAGAAAAAACTACAAAGGTAGATGACTAGGTGTGTAAAAGATAGT